ATGCACTGGGGCTGGGGGGGGCCCCCGCCCCTGCGCCCGCCTCATCTGTGGCTGTGCTCTCCCCCTGCCTCCGCAGTGCCCGGGCTGGACCTGGGCAAGAAGATGAGCGTGCCACAGGACCTGATGATTGAGGAGCTCTCATTGCGGGACAACCGTGGCTCCCAGCTCTTCCAGCAGCGTCAGAGACGGATGCAGCGTTTCACCTTTGAGCACCCCAGCGGCCACCGGCAGGGGGGGGCGAGGGCCCGGGCCTATGGCTCCAGGAGCCTTTGCAGGAAAGCAATTCCCGGCAAGGCTGGGGCGTCTCTCAGTAAAACAACCAGGCTCAGCTGCCTGCTATGCTGAGATGAAGGGGGAGGAGAGATGGCTTGATGGGCTGGGCATGGAGAGGAGCAAGCATCAGGTTCAGCATCCAGCAAAGAGCAAGGGGACAATGGCAGTCCCTCTCTGCACCCACTAACCAAACCTCCTCACCTCCTGCAGCTACCAGGTCCAGGGGCGGGTGGCTCACACCGAACCCAGAAAGGTGACCAGGAGGGAACAGCAAACGAGTGGACAGTGAGTAGATGCAGGAAGCTCTGAGGTGTTTTGAGCAGGCTCCTGAGCCCTGAGCAGGGCAGGGGGAGCTCCTGGTGCCTGCTGACTCTCCCTTCCGCAGGCAGGGGACGATGGCGAGGGTCAGCAGCATTATCACTCCGAGCTCCATGTGGCAGCATCGCCCCAGGGCGGCCCTCCTGCAGTGCCCAAGAAGACAGAGAAAGTCTTGCAGATGAGCAAAATCCTCAACCCCGATGCTCTGGCCCCAGGTAAATGCCACCTACACCCCAGAGCCAACACCGTTTTAATCTCAGTAACATGGGGCTGGAGGCAGCGAGCTGCTGCCTCCTGAAGCATCCCCCCACAAAAAAAACCTCCCCCAGAGTCTTTATATGTACAGATATGTAACATATTTATGTTATATATATGCCATCCTGCTCCCAGCCGCAGGTCCTGCGGGGCCACGCAAAGACAGGGCTGTTCCCAGCCCCCTCTCCCCAGCTCAGCCAGTCGCCCCAGCCTGGCTGTGGCAGCCCATGTCATCTCTCTCCCCTTCCCCTCAGGGTACTCAAGCCCCCTCAAAGAAGTTCCCCCAGAGAAGTTCAACGTCACCGCCATCCCCAAGGGCTACCAGTCCCCGTGGCATGACCTCCTTGGTGACAAGGACAGTGCTGTGCACCGTGAGAACCAGCCACCTGTGAGACCCTATCCATGGGACTTCACAAGCTTCAACAGGTAACGTCGGCTGAGGAGGAGGCACCTCCAGCATGTCCATCCCTTGGTCACACTGTTCAGCCTCAAGAAGCACCCACTGTCCTGCCAGGGAAATGCTATGGTCCCTCTCCTCTTTATATACCACAGGGGAGCAGTAAGGGCTCAGGTTGCTCTTTTCCTGCTCATGAGCTCTTTTGTGGCTTCTCTGCAAGGGTCCCTGCCTTCAGCAGGTCTCCTCTGAGCTCCACTGCCCGGCTTGGGCAGCCCTTAAGAAGCTTGATCTTACCACATTAGCCTCAGGGATGAAATTTGGGAGGACTAACTCTCAGGCTTGCAGTCCTGGAGAAGGAATTGCTGTTGTTCCCAGCCGGGCTCAGCTCTGGGCTGGGAGGAGGAAGGGCACAGATGCTGTCAAGCCTCTCTCCTAATTTCCTTACGGTATCCAAACAGCTGCTGGAAGCAGTGAGGGTGTAAGGTTAATCTTCCCACAAGGTGCTAAGAGGTCACCAGATTCTTTCCAAACACCTGCTTGAGATTGAAGTCTTCAGGCCGGGGGAGTTTCTGGTGGCTCAGCCTGGCAAGCTCCATACCCTATATCTGCTTCCAAAGGAGTATGGCTGCTGTGCCTCCTTGGGCTGCCAAATGTCACCGGGGTCAAAACTGGGACCCTGGAGTGGAGACGGCTAAGGAAAAAAATCTCTTTTCTGGAAAGGTATTTGGTGGAGATCCAGGAGACGGAGATCTGGTGGTAGCAAAGCCTGGAGCCTGGTGAGGGACACAGCACAAGGCTGCTGCACATTCAGCCCTCCCCGCATTTCCCCTCCCACACCAGTGAAAGCACGACAGCGCACTGGTCTGCACTGGAGTGGGGCTGAGGGGGAGAGGGAGCAAGCAGCAGCATTAACAGAAGGGTTGAGAAGCCACAGGGAAGCAAAGGGACTGTGTTAGCTGTTCCCTCAGGGTTTCCTTCGTGGCTTCTCAGCCATCTGAAGCTCTCCTGAAGCAGCATCATCTGAGGATGTGCTGTAGGGGGAGAACAAAGAGCAGCTGCAGACGCTTGGCTCTTTTCTTTCACTGTTTAGCCATGTTCCTGCCTCAGTTTTTATTTGTGGACAGGGACGGAAGCAAGGGCATGTTTCCGAATAATACTTTAGCCCATCCCATTTCTCCCCTTTCACATGCTGCCTTTCTATTTAAAGTCTTGAGCTGTTATTTAATACAGATGGATGCTAATTTAACACCAAGCCTCTTGCCACCTCCTCTAATTCTTCATTGAGACATGAAGATTCAGAGACCCAATCTGCTTTTAACTGGGCTTTTCATGATCTTCCAAGCTGTTGGCTTTTAAATCACTTCTCAGTTCATCAAATACTGCAGAAACCCAAGTTTTTTGGAACAAACCACCTAGCAAAAAGCCAGCAGTCTTGCCTAAAGCTAGGTGAATCCCTTGCACAGCTCACATGAGTGACAGGGTGAGGGCAAGTTCACCATCTCAACAGCAACCACGTTAACACGGACTGGTTTATTCCCAACTTTAAGCATTCAGGCTGTGGTGTAGAGACTTTTGGCCCCTTGCTAAGGTGCACTGCCTAAAGAGAAAGTGAAAACCAAGCTTTGAAAAGGACCATCTTTTCCCAGAAAGGAGAAAGTTCCTGGAACAGACTTTCTTCGTTTACCTTTCCCCCTCTTATTTCTCCTCTGTTGCAAAACAGTGCCACGTCACCCATGTGCAAGCAGCGCTTCCCAAAGCAAACACCCCAGCTACGCTTCATCGATAGCTCAGCCTCCATACGCTGCTCCAAAACCAACATTCTTGGCTTTTTGGGGGCTGGCACTCTCTTCCCTTTTCCCTTTCCACATTTCTCTGGGAAGGGATGACAGCCCTTGCCCCCACACTGCTCCTCCTGTTAGTCATAGTTCAAGAGAAGCCATCCCAAAAGGCAGATCGGAGCCAGGGCCAAGGGGAAGATGCTTGGCTGCACATGTGCTAGAGCGATCAGGAGGCAGCGCTGTCAGCCTCAGCCCTCTGCAGAACACATCAGCTGCAGAAGAGTCACTTTCTAAAGACCAGTGAGTTTGTCACCATCACCTGCTCTCTTAATCTGACCCCTCTCACATGCAGCACACCCCTCCTGCTGTCGGCAGAGCCCATCAAAAGAGGAAAAGGGAACAACAGGCACCAAACCCCACTCGACAGGCTTGCCAAAGCTTGAGTTGAGGCTGGCTGTGTGCAAGAGAAGCAGCTCGCCGGGCTCACGGAGGCTCTCACAGCATCCCGGCAAGGAAGAGGAGGGCCAGCATTCGCTACAGGCGGTGCTAGGTTGCTGTCAGGCTTAGTCAGTAAATCAGAGCCAGTAAATTCTGGGTCAGATCTCCTTTTTCTATCACCTTTACAACCTGCACAGCCTCTCTTAGTGATGTGCTAAGTCTGCTTTTTCTTGCACCGCAGGAATCCCACCCCATTTGACAAAGCCCTGGTCAGTGACCTGTTCTCCATGCCCACCGCAGAGCTGGATCACCTGAGCGCTCTGGAGGTGATTTCCCACAGACCCAACTTCAACCGGGTGGCGCAAGGGTGGGTGCGGATTCTGCCAGAGAGCGACGAGCTGTAGCGCACGTGCACGCACTCCCTTCCCCATCACCACGGATGCTTTTCTCGCTAGAGTCAAACATACTTCACAGGGTAAGGGAGAGGGGAGTAAGTATTCTTCCTGAAAGCTAAGCTGGTCTCGGGTTGTCATCAGATTTCAACGAGCTCAAGTCTGGGACCATTTTGAATTCCCCTTCTATCAGCCGTTGTCACAAGCGTGTTTAGGGCTAAGCTAACCAGCCGAGTTCTTGCCGTTAATGTGAGCAGATCCCTGTAAGCTGCCACACAAAACCTCCTGTACAGCCTGTCCTCTTCCCCACCTCACGGAAAACGGCAGGACCACCAGCTGCAACACACCAAGCTGTCTCACTGCCTCTTCACTGACACACACCACCTGCTCCAACAGCTGGTGCCTTTGCAGAGAAATTCCATCTTCAGGACAACTCTGTGTCTGTCATTCCAGTCAGGACAGCAAGAGAAGGTGATAACTGAAGAGCGGCAGCAAAACAAGTTACCAGAGGCACTGGCATGTTAAAAGCACTTACCTCGGCCTTGGCTGGACAACAAAAACAAATGAGGAACTGGGAATCTGCCTGTTGACAAGCACAGCTCAACCAGTGTATATGGGAGAGGAATACTGGGAGTTGGAAACTTGTGCCATTTTCTACAAGTTACTGGCTAGCACTAGGCAGCCGATACTTTCCCCTTCCTACTGCTATTTGCTTGCCTTGCTTAAACATCCAAGCCCTTTGATTGACTTAGGCCAGGTTTGCTTCTAGTTGGGTCAAGTAGGACCAAGCCCTGACTGGACCCGCTGCACTGCACAGTCACACCAGCCTGATGGTGCTGCCAGGGTGCTCTGGAAACTTCAGCATCAGTGGGAAGGAAAAGCAGCGCAGCCACAACTCCAGAGGAAGGGCGGGCTTCTCCCTGAATAGGAGAATCAGCAGTGAGGATTCAACTAATGAACGTTTTCAGCAGTGACACACAGTGGGACATGCAGCTAAGAAGTCATCAGAACATCTGGAAAACCCTGCTAACAGCTAACAAAAAGCTCTAACTTTACACAGGCTTTCTGCAATTGCTTGTCAGGTTCTCAACGTTACCCTTATTTAATCTTGCAAAAGCAGGAGCATCAGGATAAAAGTCTCTTTGTTGAACCAGGCAAGTAGATTTTGTGGTAAAACAGCTTGAAGCGCGTTTGCAATGCAGTGCAGACAGATGTGTAGAGCAAATCCCACACAGGGATTCTGCTGCCACAACACACCATTCTGGCAGGAAACCATTGCTCTGCTCTTCCTGCAGAAGCAGGAGGGGACAAGCAAATGGAAAGAAACAAGGTCTGTTCCTTAAATACAGAAAAATTATGATGCTCAGCTGCTATCCTGTTCCAAACTTTTCTGCTTGCCCATTGGCTGAAGAACCCATGTAACCCCTGGGGACCTGGCTAGAAATAATAAATAAATTGTGACAACGTAAAGCCTACTTGCATTCGAGATCTGTCTGCACAGCGCTCCCGGGCCCCAACCCAGCAGCGTCCTGTGGGACAGCACACAAAGCTACACAGGGACCTGCCACCACTGCCCCGCCCTGCACCTCGGCTTTGGCAGCAGCCAAATAAAAATCAAAGTCCTTGGATGCCGTGCTCCAGGAAACAAGCAAAGTGTTGAAAAATGCAAGTATTTTAATGTTGTTTTTTTTCTTGCCAAACAAGCAAACAAAGCTTCAGAACAGGTCCCATCACGTTTTGCTTGAAAGACAGATGCCCACAGATTCATTGCATGAGAGCAGCCAACATAAACTTCAAATCCTACACACGTCTTACTCAGCAGCCGGCTCCATGCAGGACTCAGTTGTTCCTGGGCAAACACAGCTGGAGCACAGAAAGACAAGGTTCATGTCTTATCAAAGCAGGACAAAGTGGGACACACCTGCAGTTTAAGAGGAGACTGTACCCATAGGCCTTGAAAGCCCAAACCACGCTCTAGATATACCCCGGAGAACTCTGCAGCTGCACCGCGTGTGTCCGCCCGCACCGCAGGGGCCTTCAGAGGCCAAACCAGGCAACTACTGACCCGTCCCTCCGCATCGTGCCCACGCTGCCCGGGGGCTGCACACATCACCCAACGCTTATCTTGCTCAGGGCGTGCAGGATTAGAAGTGAAGCATCAAAAAAGGTTTTGTTTTCTGTGTATTTTTTTAGGCAAGTAAATAAAAAGGAGGGAGGACAACTCTGTGGCAATAATAAGGCAAAGCCATAGGTTTGGAACATACCATAAGCTTGTTTTTCAGCTCTTATGCAGAGCTTTAACACTTCATTAGAATAATAAGCCATTAGTTACCTGACAGACAACAGTCTCTGATTAAACAGTCCATAGTGTTCAGACTGAGGATACCAAACAGGCTTGAAAAGGGTTTCGGTTTGGTTTTTTCCACAAGTTTATTTCAAAAGTGTGCAAACGGGATACACAGACAGCACTGTAATTCTGGTACACCTGATCCACGGATCCCCAACAGCCCTTCTGTCCGCAACCCCCCCACCCCTCCCACTCCCCAAAATACTAAATGAAAGACCTGGGATGTATCCACAATCCGATTAGCCAGCGGAGACATGGAGCTCAGCTCACCCAGTGTCTGCAAGCGGGGAAATAAGGCTTCTCTAGCTCATCCACAGCTCAACATATGGTGCTACCATGGTAACTAGAAAATAACATTTACTTAAACGGCGAGGGCGGCACAACGCGCTAGGGGCTGCTGTGTTTCCCCGCGTGGGCACCCATCCTCTGCGGATCTTGAGACGGGTAGTGGATGGGGCCTGGGGCTCTCATGAAGGGAGGCGGGGGCCCCATGGCGTGGAACATGTGTGGTCCGAAACCTGCGGAAACACAGAGTTGGCAGCTTCAGACAAAGCAGGAGAACAACCAACACAGATGTCCTGTGACTCAGAACTCACGACAGAAAACAGGTGAGCCTTAGAGAGCTGCACCTCTCCTGTGATTCTTCAAATCCCCAGTCCTTCCTCTCTTTCCAGTACAACTGGAGGCAACCGTTACCCAGCGCACATTCCCACTCACAGATAAACACAGGACAGGCGTCTGCAAGGCCAATCTAAATGCTTTTTACTCAACTGTGGAGCAAAGCAAACACATGCACAAGAATATGGTGTCCCATTTAAAAAAAAGGGGTCTCTGGATAGATATATACAGACAGCCAAACACAGGCTGGCATTCAATCAGCTGTGCAATTACCCTTTGAAGTTCAGGTCAGTGTGGCCTTTACACGTCGAGCAAAAGCACCAAGGGATCTCTGACATGCCTGAGAATTTGCAAGTGAGTATGTACCACAACAGGCAGCTCGGTTAATTAAACTGTGCTGACAGCTCGTTTTAGATCATCACTTTATACACTGTATGATGAGGGATGAGGAAAATCAACTTAGGGCATGCAGGAGCACAGCCGAGCACGGAGCATGAGGCTGTCTTAACGTCAGGTCTGACACCCCCACCTGAAGGGGAAACAACTACCTGGAGGTGGTGGTGGAGCGATGCCAGGAGGAGGTGGCAAGGCAATGTTAACCACGGCTGGAGGGCCATTGGGAGGTAGGTTGAAGTAATTCGCAGAAGCCTCCTCTTCTGCTGCTGGAGGAGGGGGCAGAGCTGCAGAAAAAGCAAGCAGTGGTTATGGAAAAATCTCTCAGTCAGGATACGCAGAGGTATCTGCCTTCAGAGAGGAGGCATCATCAGTTCTTCCAGAAGGGCAAACTGCTGACACTTCTGCACGTATGAACCATAGCAAGAAGCACGGAAACTCCAGAACTGTCACCATTTTTCTTCACCTGAAATCAGCTTTGTTTATTCCATCACCCAACGCCTACTGGATTAGGAAAATAAGCCCTGATAAGCGTGGGTTGCCAGTATCTCAGACCTAAGTAACTTAAATGCAGCTTCAACTTTTCATTCATCACATAAAGAACTCTCTTTTCATCATGAATTCGGTTCTAGACAAAGTTCCCCTCCCGTTCCAGCTGCAAACCTCCTCCTGTAAGGAACTGCTCTGGGCTCACCAGCGCCTCTACTGTCAGAGGCTTAACATCAGCCTCTCTCACAGAAGCAGGTCAGCACTAAGCGTTTCAGAGATGAAAACAATTCCTTTACCTCCAGGAAGTCCTGGAACTGGCTCCAGCTTTATTCCAGATTCTGTAGTACCTTCCTTATCCTTTTCTTTTCCTCTTGCTGCCTGGGACCTAAAAACCAGACAAAAGTGTGAGAACAAGGATGAGAAAAAGCAGGATAAGCAGATATTTGCCCTGCTAGTTTTACATCATCTTATCCAGATCCATTGCTTCAGGCCAAAAATTAAAAATTCACAGAACATCGGAGACAACTGGTACAAAGTGTGCAAACAGTGCTTACAAGAGATGGATTAGAAGCAAAATGACAGAAACTCATCCATAACTTTCAACCAAGAAATCCCTAATACAATTTGGGTAACTTCCAACCCAGATCCCACTGCTGAAAGAAAAAAAAAAAATCAAACTCTAAGAAGACCCCAACTATTTACTCCAGTGTAATACCCAATCTGCCCGGGGAGACTGGACAAACTGAGTAAAGAACCTCGTGGCAACATCCTCATGGTCTCTTTCCCCCGCACTCACCTTCCCCACTTGACATTGAGCCGGCGACCATTGACAATGAGTTTGTTGAAGGATTTCTCAGCAGCCACTTCCGCAGCTTGCCGGGTGGCAAACTGGATGAAAGCACACTGTTGTCTCTGCACTACAGTTATCGTCCGAATCTCCCCAAACTGGTAAAAGTGATTTCTGTGTGGGGAAAAAAAAAAGATTACAAAATTCCCCTCCTCCTAGCTGCAGGGAACAGAGCAGAATAGGATCTCACCACGTGTTGAAAAAGATATCCCCAGATCCTTTTTTTCTCCATTACCAGTTCAAACAAACCATTAGAAACCAAGTTTCTTGCCCCTCTGTGCAATATAGAGCAATAAAAACTCTGCAGCAGCTTTTCTC